ACCAGGGGTGTGGGTTTGTTTTGGTTTTTTTTTTTTTTGGGGGGGGGGGTTAGGGGTGAGTTTAAGAACAAGACCAGTGGTTACTGGAAAAATGATGTCTAATGTCCTGTATTACATTTGACAGTATTTCGCATGGATTTCCCCTATAGCAGTAGAGAATAAATAATCTTTAAACAAAGGACGAAATGAGAATAAATTCATAAAAAAATTTCAGAGGAATGTCAGTCACATGTAGTAGATAACTCAAACTCTTAAAAACAAGAATATTTCACACTGCAAGATCTATTTAACCCTATTTCATGTGGTTTTCCAGATAAATATTTGTTCTCATTTGATTAATAATAATGCAATTATTAAATTTTCAGCCATGCAATTATTTGTAATGCATGTTCAACTCATGTAAAAACAATCTCCAGCTCCTCCTCCTCTGAAGCCAGCAGTCACTGACCCTTACGCAAGACTCACAACCCAATATTATTTCTGATTCTGGTCATGGCTTGATGTCGTCAGACCCTTAAGGCTGGGAACAGAAATACAGGTATTAAAAATTCATGACATCTTGGAACATAACCATTAAAAGTATACTTTAGTCTCAGATTAAAATGCATTCAAACACAATGTTATCTCTTACAATAATTCACTATGGACATATATCATTATAAATAAAATAGGTCCAAAATTATCTTTGTCCTGAATCTAGAGCAGTGGTTCCCAAACTCTGACAGATTGCGCACCACCAATTTAAAACAATACATCCTTAAGTACCACCAGCAAATTTTTGTCATATAAAGTAATTATAATAAATCTGTTAAAGCTGACAGGCTGCCTGTGTACCACTGGTGGTACATGTACCACATATTGGGAACTGTTGCTCTAGAGTGTCACAAAAAACATGTTCTTTAACTGTATTTGAGATTGTCCAATTATCATTGACTTTTGGTCTTAACTTCAGCAAATGTCTCAAAATCACAGAAGATCACAGGAAGTAAGTAAAGAGCAAAGTGACTTGGTTAAATGCTATAGATAACATGGGAGGGTAAGAGGCAAATTAGCAGGGCCATTGGGTAGTCATCCAAGACGACTGTATACTAATGCAAGTATGGGATCTAAAAAAGCAGACTGGAAGTCAGAGTATATGCACAACATTTTGATGTGATTGGGATAAATGAGATTTAATGGAATAATTCCCAAGACTGGATTATTGCCACAGATGGGGTATAATTGATAAAGGAAGGACTGGCAGGAGGAAAGGAAGCCTTATATATGAAAGATATTTATGTCTGTTTTGAGGTACAGAACAAAATTGGAAGCAGACTTGTTGAAAAATCACTTAAGGCAAGCAGAAAGAGTGATGTCATGATGGGCATCTACTATACACCCAACAAACAAGGACAGTGGCGGCGAATGAAGTTTTTGTTGTGAGGTGGCAAAGGCAGGGAGGTTTTTTGTTTTCTCATATATATATATATATATATATATATATACACACACACACACACACACACACACACACAGCAATTAAAGCATCCAAATCACAGTAACTGGTGCTTATGGAGAACTTAAATTACTGTGCTATGGGAGAGCAAAGGATCCTGCTATCCAGCCTGCTGGGTGCCCCAAGGGTCCAAAATTTTGATGGTGGGTACCATTCCACTGCTACCAAATTTCCAGACCCTTGGGAAGCCCCAGAGCCTGGAAAACTTGATCTTTTATACCAAATCACTCCAGCACATGGCCAGATCTGGGCCAGCATGAGGTCAGGCCAGTTGGGTACCAGATCTGGCTGCAAAGCTTTTGGCTGGTGTGCTGGATTAACTCAGACTGACCCCATGCACCATCCCCACACTACTTACTCATCCAGCCCACAGAGCTGCAACGTTGGGCACCACTGAGTTAGACTATTTCAGTCTATGTTTTCATAGATTCATAGATGTTAGGGTCGGAAGGGACCTCAATAGATCATCGAGTCCGACCCCCTGCATAGGCAGGAAAGAGAGTGGGGTCTAGATGACCCCAGCTAGATGCATATCCAACCTCCTCTTGAAGACCCCCAGGGTAGGGGAGAGCACCACCTCCCTTCGGAGCCCGTTCCAGACCTTGGCCACTCTAACTGTGAAGAAGCTCTTCCTAATGTCTAGTCTAAATCTGCTCTCTGCTAGCTTGTGGCCATTATTTCTTGTAACCCCGGGGGCGCCTTGGTGAATAAAACCTCACCAATTCCCTTCTGTGCCCCCGTGATGAACTTATAGGCAGCCACAAGGTCGCCTCTCAAACTTCTCTTGCGGAGGCTAAAGAGGTCCAGGTGCCCCAGTCTCTCCTCATAGGGCTTGGTCTGCAAGCCCTTAACCATACGAGTGGCCCTTCTCTGGACCCTCTCCAGGTTATCCGCATCCCTCTTGAAGTGCAGTGCCCAGAATTGCATGCAGTACTCCAACTGCGGTCTGACCAGCGCCCGATAGAGGGGCGCTCTATGATTCAAGAAAACAGAGCACATCTCTACATTTTTAGCATGGTCAGGGATATTAGCAATTTCTCATTGGTGGCTAAAAAGCCCTCCAAAACTGCCATATAGATATTTGTGAAATAAAAATAATACCATCAACATCTTACATTCTCAGAGAAGGGCAGAAAAGTACATTGTGGATAAATACTATTTAGGTTGCCATACTGTATTTGAACAAGCTTGGGGATGTTCAGATTCAGCGAGTTCTTAACACAGATGCAGTTTCATTCACCTGAAACAATCTTATGATTTAATCCTTGGGATAACTCTAACAGATCACAAAGTATTGTTGACTTCTTATATGCCCTAGTTATGCTTCTGCAGCAGCTCATCTAACATCTGGAATGTGTAACCTATTCTCAACTTTCCAATATGCCAATAGCTAATTTCGATCTCTGAGGGTGAGATTTCTGTGCTCCCCCTTCAAAGAGTTCAGCACAGAATTTACAAGAATCACTAAAGCAGGAAATGGTAAACTGGTTTAAAGCCATTTTTATAGCCTTATGAACCTGTTCTGCCCAAGCAAGACCAGAATTGGCGCAACTTACCAACTGCAACTATATCATGGCATGGAAGATGCCTGTGTGTGACTTTGTTGTGGACAAGCTGCTGCACATCAACTTCCACATGGCTCTTGACAGAATGGGACCTTGATCCAATGGCAAGGAGACCAAGACAACTGGGGATCTCATTCTGCTGCAGCCTTCATCCACCTCTGCAGCCATTGAGAGTCTAACATCTGCCTGGTCTGCTGTTGAGGACTTGCAGGCCCATAGCTCAGGGCTGGGCAAGCTTATTATAGTGGTGACCCGTACTCACCATGTCACAGCACCATCACAGGATATATGTGCCTTTTCAGGAGGGAAACCATTGCCATTTGCTGTCTTCACCACATCCTGGTGGTACTTCCACTGCTTGGTCGGTGACTGCTTATTTGTCAGTTACCCTGCTTATTTCACAGCTAACCTTCCCTGAAGTTCATTCCACTACCTGCCACTTGTGAACACACTGTGCATTAGTACAGCTCTGCCCCCCAGCCCTGTATCAGTCAGTAACTGCAATCTTCTCAGGCTTTTCCTAGGAGCTGCTGTGCTACCTGTTGTGGCCCTTCAATCAGTAAAACTGTTCTCTCATCCTGTATGCCAGAGATTGTGAAGGCAACATTGGAATGCAACTTTAGTTTTCTCCTGCAATACCTATGCCAGGAAATTCTGCATCAATTGAAAGTTATCGTTAAGGCCTTTACGTCAGCTAAAATGGCCACTGCAGCATAAAAAGCCTGAGTGGACGTAAGACTCTCTCACCACAAGACTCTCCTGCATGAACTTCAGTGGGACCCGTAGACAGAAAAAATCCAAATAATAGAAAATAGGGCTGTGTGAAGCTTTGGTCGCTGACTCAATTCGGCCCAAATTGGCGGCTGAATCTCCGAATCTGAATCGAATCAGGAGACCCTTTAATCTCTCCGAATCCAATCGGAACCCTCCCAATAGATTCAGAGAGATTCGATAATTCAGACATAGACACAACTTTAAATGTTTTTTTCTACATGCCTCAAGGTACCAGGCGGCTCGTGAATGCTGCAATGCTGGGGCGGCTGGAGTGTCCCATGAGAGGGGTCCCGAACACGTTCGGTGGTGGACACAGAGTGGACCAAAAGCACTTTTGAGTCGGCTGTGGAACACACAGGGGACTGCCCCCCAGCTCAGTGACTAGTGCCTCCTGGATCTGGGGGGGGGCACCCAGGGTTCCCCCATGACTGATTGCCAAGCCAGGAGCAGGGGGCACAGAATGAGAGGGACCCTCACACTCGGCAGTGGACCTGGAAGTGGACCTGGAACTGGACCAGGTCTGCCACTGAGCACACGGGGACCCGCCCTCCCCCCCCCACCCCTGCACTCCTGTGGGACGCTCCTTTTACCCCACCATCTTAGCATTCACGAGCCATGCCTGGTACCTCAAGGTTCATAGACAAAAATTTCAGTCGTAGACAGCTTTAATCGCTGATTCTCCAAATCGGCATCAAATCTTCAGATTCAGCCGAGTTAAATTGGGACAATGATCCAAATCAATTAATCAAATCACTGTCCCCCAAATTGGGCCAAATCCGAATCAAATACAGCCCGCTCCACACACCCCTCATAGAAAAAACTTTTTGAAGAATATAACTAACATCATGGATATATGAAGAATTTATGAATGGGAAGCTGTGAACTTTTGATTTCTTATTTTTTTTAAAGAAGAGGAAGGGAAAACTAATGTAAAAAAAAAGGAAGGGGGGATATTTATCAACTGACTGAATTAAGGAACAGAGAGCTATGATGTTTTGGCCCTTCTCTCCTTAAACTTTTTTTTTTTTTATTTACGATAGATATTTATCAACTACTTGAGCTGCAGAATGAAAAGTATTACAGTATGCTTGTCTTCTCAAACTGCTTACTGTTTACACAATATTCAATTTTGACAGTCATTGTCTCTAAACCAATATAATTTATTTAAATACTAGGTTGCTTACCAGACACGATTGTTTTGATAACACAGGCAATCCTGTGTTGCATTTCTATTTGGGCTGTGACTACAACAGACATTTTTTGTTACAGATCCAAAAGGTCAATTTACTCCAACAAAGACCAATAGTTTGCCAAGATCAGCTTGTCTAGTTTTTGATATCTGATCCTGTGGATTACACTCTTATGAAAAACCAGAGTTAAGAAATTTGAGAATATTTTTCATCTCCAACTATTGTGGACAGATTCAAAAGTCTGGCATGCTACCACAGAACTAAAGGGGGTTCATCTTGGCCCTGAAAAATCATGAAGCAAGTCCTCAAGGAATCTATTTCTAAGCATTTGGAGAAGATGGTGATTAGGAACAGTCAGCATGGATTCACCAAAGGCAAGCTGTGCTTGACCATCTGATTGCCTTCTATGATGAGATGACTCCACGCTTTGTGGATGCGTGGAGATCAGTGGATGTGATGTACCTTGCCTTTAGCAAAGATTTTGATATGGTCTCCC